GAGCGGCGGCGGCGGCGGCGGCGGCGGCTCCGCCGGCGGCCACGACGACGGCGCGCCTCCCGCCGGCACTTCTCGTCGGCCCCGCAAACCCTGACACGGAGTCCAAGACCAGGAGGCGTTCTTCTTCGCCCCGCCGTGCACTGCCACCGCCACCGCCGCCGCCGGCGGCAAGGGGAGGAGGAGGAGGAGCGGCAGTCGTGGCGGCGTCCCCCTTCCCGAACCAGGAGCCTCTTCTCCGCGGGACGGCGATCTCGTACCGCAGCCCTTCCCACGACAGTAGCAGCGGCGGGGGCGGCGGCGGGGGCGTCTCCATCTCCGCCCCCGTCCGCGCGTTGATCCGATCGCTGCTGCTGCGCCGCTTGCGGCGGAAGCTGTCACCCCAACCCCCCTGCGACAAAAAACGCCTGCTCCCCGACGCCGCCGCCGCGGCCGGCGGCGGCGGCCCGCCGAGAGCTTCCGGAACGTTCCACGAAACGGTCCGAGCCCCGCCACGGGTCGCCCCGCCGCCGCCAGCGCTCCCCTCCCGCTGCCCCCCTTCCGGGGCAAGGTCCTCTTCGCCCACGATACCGGCGGCGGTCGAAACGGACATCGGTCCTTGTGGCTGGGGCTGCATGTCTTCGGCGGCGGGGTCGGTGGCGGTAACACCGTGGTCGGAGGATAGTACGGGGTTACTGCGTCTTGGGGCCGTCGAGGCGTTGTTGCCGGTACGGGTGTTCCCGCGGCGGGAAGGCCTGGCTTGCCCCGAAGGTGGGTGAGAGTCGATCACGAGTGGCTTGGTCCTGAGAGGGAGAGGGGAACGCGAACAGGACCGGGGTCATATGACGGAAGGAGTTATTAGCTCAGGCTCAAGGGCGGCCCTCAGGCCTCACAGCGGCGCCTGAGAGCGAAGCGGCGGAATCAGGCCTACTCTCAAATCGACACCAAAACGTCACATCGTGGCTGGCACCGCAGAGCGCGCCGTTCGGCCTCCCCCTCCGCGGGGCGACGCCACCGCATTGCTCATGGTAAGGTATATGGGAACATTACTGTCGTGCTTGGGAACATCTATCCGTGCACTACGCGAAGGGCGAGTCTGTACTCTGCTGCAGCGTTGATCTCAGACTCTTTTTTTATTTTCTTTTTGCGTTCACTTCAATTCAGCCGTAACACCATTTGTGCCGTTTTCTCCAACCCTTTGTCACACAGAAGTGTTCCTCTCCCTGAGGCCCCCTATACCCACCCCTTCTGCGGTGCTTTGCCTTCGATTCTTAATGCGAGAAGAGTGCAGCACTTTCTTCCTTGTGCGTACACAAGAACTAGCGCTTTGCACCCAGGCCACGAACGGAAGCGAGAGGAAAACTCACTTTGCAAGAAAATCTCGCTTACGCCGGGGTTTGAATCCCTGACCCGGGCCACTAGAGGGTGTTGAGGATACCAACTGGACCACAGGGGCGACCGGTGGCTGACGTGGTGTGCAGAAAATAACTGGTAAGATGCAGCTCCGAAGTCGGCGGAAGGCGCTGTACGTCCTGTTTCCTTCTCCCGAAGGATGCCCTTGACGGTCTTGGACCAAGCGCGCGCTTGGCGCACATGAGACGAAGGGGTGGGTGTTCCCAGTCCTTGACGAGCAAATCGCCCACAGTCATGTCTCCGGTGCAGCCCTCTTCGATGTTGTCCACGGGGGAAGAGTCAGGCTAGAAGCAGTGCTGCAAAGGTTTATTTTCTTTTTTCCGCTCCACCTTCCTCACTCTGATCTACACACCCTAACCACCGCCGCTGTGGCCTCCTTGCCCGCCTCTGTTCCACAACCACCGCCGCTCCGTCGCACACGCTGTACCTACCATGTCCAAGAGAACGTCCGGACACGTCTACGACCTCTCATCAGATGATGGCGACATCAAAGCCGCTACCCATACGAAACATACAGCGCGGAAGACTGTTTAGAGGTC